CATCTCTCCGAGCCTTTGTTTTTTCTTTCAATTAGTTTCTAGAAATCAGCAAGCACAGAGAAACCAGACTCACAGCCTATTATTTGGGAACAGTATCTGTGCAAAGATTCTCTTAATGCAGACACGAGGCTCTGCATTTTCAAATGAAATTCACAGCTGAATGTTGTGAAGTGCTGGTGGGGGGAAAAAATCCTCTGTCAGTAGGTAAACATTTTTGAGTTCTTTACTGTATTTACTTTTTAGCCACTCCAGTTTCTAGCATGTACAAATGTTTCCTATATTAACAGGGGAAGACTGATTTTGTGGTCAGCGCACGCGAAACAGGACATCAATTTAACTGGGCCATTTGGGGTTAGCACAAAATGACAGACCAGCAGGAAGCACTTGAAAGCTTCCCCATCAGCAATCAAAGCCCTGCAATTTTGAGTTTTTTCCTCCAATCACATAGTATATTGATGAGAAACTAGTTCTGATAATGACCTTTGAAAGACCCCATTCTGGCCTTCTGAGAGTAATTTGTTTCTCTAACCATGGTGCCTTAATGGCAGCTCAGCAAAAGCACCTCACCTACACAGCCATTTCAGCAGCACAACAAAGGTAGATATCTTTTCACTTAACTTGGCTGATTTTTTTTCATTTGACTTGTCCCGATGTTTGCCTATGCGAGAATTTCTTTTTCTGTGAACATCTTTTCCCCTACCTGTCTGTCCCAGCTCGATGAAATTATGGATGGGGGATCCTTACTAATCCATCAGCCCTATTGTAACCAAACATGCTAGATCCTTTCTTTGTTGCATAGTTCTAAGTTTCAATTTGTGACGATGCTCCCCTACATGAAGTCACTAGCCACAGTTCAATTAATTTCACTTTTTTTTTTTTGTTTTTTGTTTTAATAGTGCTGACAGGAAACTTTCCTTTTTCTTACAAAAGCAGATGCAGAACACTGAATGCCAACTTTCTTAGGTGAACAAGAGTAGGTGCCTGCTCTCAGCACTGCTGATGCTGGGAGTCATTTCATTATCTGAAAATCACCTTCAACTGGTGACCACAAACCTGCCAGTGCAGACTGCATTACTCAAAATTTCTAGGCAAGAATCAGCACAGCACAGCACACTATCTTTCAGCTGATTTTACAAATCACAATCCTCCTTTAGTGCTCTGACTTTCAGTTTTAAGCCTCTGCTTTTTCCCAGTGCCCCCAACCCTGGTTGGTACCCATGATCTCTGAGCGCTCAGGGCAAAGGGTCCCTGGGCCCTCAGATCTGATACTGGCTGCCAGGCTGAATGAATCAGTGCGCATCACAAGGGTTAATGCTACCTTCCACATCTCACTCCTGGACAAACAATGAGGAAAGCTGCATCTACGGCAGTGTTTGAGCTTTCACATTTGGCTCTGTTAGAATATTCTGCCTGTAAATGGTAACAAAAATGGCTGTCACGAGCTGGAAGGAACCCCACATTTTAAACATCTCATGCTGCACTTCCATGATTTTTAAAGCTCATAATAGCAGCTCCAAAATACCATGAAAAGCTGACCCAGTACGAACTCACTCTGTCAGTTTATATTTCCTCTAGACAGTAGCAGTCTTCATACCACTCCTGGGATCATCCATCCCCCACAGCTGGCAGAAAGGTGATATGGACTACAGAACTCACACTGGCCATCCCATGTGCCCCAGCAAATCCAAAAGAAAGGAAGCATGTTGAGCCCACACCCAATTCATATCAAATAGGCATGAGTAGTTGGTAACACAGGTCCTTGCTTCTGCTGTCATTGGAAACAGTGCAAGTGTAGAGAAAGCATCACCTCAAACATGTATCTGGGGACTCCTGCTCTCTGTCAGCCCTTTGTCATCTTATTATGAGCCAACAAAGACTATATGGAGTGAAATGTAGGAGAGTGATACAAAATGTTCAGGTTATATTTGATAATTACATTGAAGCGTGGTCAGCCAGCTTGCTCACACCCCAGCACTGAGGAGGAAAAACAGCGTATGTGGCATGTATTGTAAGGAAACAACTCTACAAAGCACAGAGGAAATAAAGGTAGACCATTTGTATAGCCTCCACTCTAAGGCAGCAAAACAATTCCTTTATAATGCCTAGGAAGGCCTCAAGCATAAGCAACTTACTGGAATCATTTAAATAGTTGCTATGACTGTATACCTGGTCTTATGGACTCCCGTGATCCTTGAATAGCTCTCCCACAGCCAGTTTATTATCTATCATGCATGTGTGATGAAGGCTCTTTTTTTCTGATTACTTTTCCTCATATTCCAGATCTCTGACCTTCATTTCTGTCCCCTCTGCATCACTTCTCCCTGAGCTCTAATGAGGTCTGATGTGAGTATCACTAGCAGCATGCCCTGCTGGGTAAAAAGAGAACATGTCACACCTTAGCTGAAGAATGCAAGCAAAGGGCAATATCCTTATGTCTGCAAATGCCTTTATATTGTGCTCTCCCCATGCTCTGCCATTTCTGCAGAATTTAGTATTTCTAAGCTAAATACCAGTTGGTTCCTTTATTCACTTTTATTCTGTCATGCTACAAAAACAAACTGAATGCGTCAAATCCCAGCTCTGTGTGAATTTATCATATTGCATGGTATCTTCCTCAGAACAAGACATAAGAAAGCAGATTATTTCCACACGTGCTTCTAGTGTATCTGTGAGTCCTGCCTCACACCACCTCCTCTTAGCCCCCTGAGGCTGCTGACTTTGTAAAAGACAGATAAATAAATTAGTCTATAATCCTTATATCCTTTTAAAAAAAAAAAAAAAAAAAAAAAAAAAGAAGAATTAATGTTGCTTCTCCCTTGAAAGAACCACCAATAAGTAGAAAGTGAGACTAGGGAACACTGAAATACATACACATATATCAGCTCCTGTGAAACAGCCCTGCACCCAGGACTTTCCACTGCTGCCTTCACGTGCAGCAGTCTCCCATGACAGTTTATGCCTTTCAATTCTGCGTGGCTGCTGAATTGTTGGATATGTTCAGCACATGGGTGCTGCCAACATGAGTCAACACCAGGTGTTTCCTCCAGTAGAACTGAAACCCTTCCTCTGTACTTATCCACAGCATGATCTCCCAGGAAATCCCTTGATTGTTGTTAGACTGGAAACAGCCAGGGCTACTCCTGAAACACTGCTGTTCCCCAAGCAGCACATAACTTGACTGTGTGCAAAGCTTAAAAATGAAATCTAGAAAATTGCATCTGCCAGCATGTGTTCAAATGTAAGTTCCATTGGAGAGGGATGGAGGATTCCCAAAGGACAACTATCTTATCTTTGTCTATAGAAAACAAGTAGAAATTTTAAAATGCTATAATGAAGGGCTTAATATAAATGCATTTCTGATGCTATCCACAAATTCATCAGAGTTCAAGAAGCTCTTTCAAAATAAGTGCCTGCAAGCAAAATAGCTGGTTTTGTTCTTCCTTTCTTCTGAAGAGATGATGAGACATTTACACACCTTCTCATCTTAACAATACTCCAGCCATATTATGTATCTTACGTGCTACAGATTTCAAATGCAAATTGTAGAAAGTCTATATAAAGCCTCATACAGATTTACTGTTCTTCCTACAGAGTCATGGCTAAAGACAAAGCATTTCCTTAGTAGCAGGAAGGCTTTGGCAAGAAAGTATAAAATCCCCCAACGAGTAGGATTTTTTTGTAAAACTTATTAGAAATATTTCTACTTCTATTTCAGATAACCAGATTATGGTGTAATTTGAAAATTATTTTCCCTTTCTTGTACAGTTGTGTCGTGTTTTCAGAATGATCACTCAATTTGAATACTGCAAGTAAAAATCCTGGCTTTATCAGGGTCACCAGGGCAATTCCGACCAATTTCATTTGGGCCAACACCTCACTTTGTGAGGAAGTCTTAGGGGGAAAATAAATTCAGACCTGTGGAAATGGAACAGCATGCCAAAAAGCCTTGTAATTTTATTTTGAACACAGTTACACTGCCGTGTTTGAAAAAGCAACTCCTTTCATTGCCTTCAGGAAATCAGCAGGTATTCCTCTTCTCACTGATTGCCTGTAAGTGTGTGGTAGAACAGGCTGGTTTAAAAGCCACTGCTTTTCAGTGCCCAGATACCAGTGAGATAGGCTGAAGTCCCATCTCACTTCTGTGCCAGGAACTGGCTCCAGAACCTTGGCTCCTCCTGAGCGCTGAGCCTGGGGTGTCCAACAAGGGCCTCCCTGTTCACAGGTCCCAACTGGCCTCCCTAAGGAGATATGGGCTTGCTGAGGGCGGTGGTACAAGATCTCCTGCCCTCCGAAACGCAAGAAATCCTGGGTTCCTAGAACAGATTGCTAAGCATTCACAAGGAGTCTGTTGCAGGTAGGCCTTCCCCTTCATGAGAAGCAGTGGCTATCAGCTTCTCAAGAGCTTTCAACTAAATGACAGCAAAAAGCCTCACTTAATGGGATTTCAGCTGTGACAATCACTGACTTTTGCCTTTGGGCTCCTCTTCGTCCCAAATCCAGAAACAACCCAGCAGTGTTTTCCAGACCTTTTTAAACTCTCCTCTTTCTTGTGCAAATACAGACTAGCTTCTCTGCATCATTGGACACAGTGCAAGAGACCAACACAGTTCTATCTCACACTAATTTCCAAAGCAAGTGTCCTGGCACTTCTACATCTCAGTCAGAAAGAAAGAACATCCCTTCGGATGAAATAGGTGCTGATTGCAGCCCCAGTTTCTTGGATATAAAGGTAAGAACTAAGTGTATAAATGAAGAATGGCCTATATCTTTCCACAACATAACTAACTCAACTGCTGCTGTAGATGTGGTCCTGCACCAAATCACACTGCTATCTTCCCCACAATTAAGAGTTGGTATCATTAGTACAGAACAGAATGAACAATTCCTATTTGAGGTTCCTTCAAAATTAATGGGAAGCACTGGACACCAAAGGGAATTTGGATCAAGTATACAACAGCATATTAATAAGTACAGCAGCAAGAATTTTAGAAGAAACTTACCAAAGCCATAATCTTGATGCCTGTAAACACGCTTTAATCAGAATTCTGGATAAAGCCTGAAGTTAAAGTTTTTACTTTGGAAGTTTTCCCCATTTAAATTTTCCTGCCTCTCTATTGCACTGTGGAGTACTTCTCACAAAGAGCTAGTAATATATGAGAGGTCCTGGCACACAGAGGTCCTGGCACAGTGGGGCTTCAGCTTCACTGATAATAAAAGGATTTAAAGTGAAGACTCAAAAATCCTGTAAAAAAAATATTAAGAAAATAGTCAGAATTCTGAATACTATTAGATAATGAACTTTCCAGCAAAGAACAGCTTCTTCACACTAATCATGTCCTTTATCCAGACAGACCAGAGACTGAAAACCAGGGCTTTCCTGTGCCAAGCATCCTTCATAATCGAGACCCTCCCCCTTCATCTACACATATTTAATAATATTAATAGAGCATTAAAATATTAATGCTAGGAGACAAGGTCTTTCATAAAGCACATAAATGAATTCATTCACTCTAGCTCATTAGCTTAATCGTCAACCCTTTTACAATGTAACTGATTAACATTTTCATTGTTCTTCCTTGATTTTCCTCAGACTTATTCCTTTGGGGATCGAAAGATCTCTGAATACATAAGCTCCACAAATATCTGTGCACAACTGTACAACAGGAATCATTAAAAGACAGCTAAGTAAAGGCTTTCACAGCTCATGATTCAAAGGTACTGCGGGAAGCAACCATTTAAGAACCATTTTTATTCGTAGGTTTAATGCGATTATACACATTCATGAGTCCAACAAGATCTGCACTGTGACATTGAAGATACAGTACAATAACATTCAACATGAGGTACTTCATATTTATATATCTGTCCTTTATAAATAATGCCGTAAGCCTGCCAACATCAAACACTGCTCCAGCACAAACGAGTGCTGTTACCTGAAGTTAGCTGCATTTAATTACATTAAAAAAAACAAACCAAAACAAACAACAAATAAAACAGTTCAGTGCAGTAAGCATGTAGAAATTAAAGCGTTTACTTAAATACTACTTTAGATATGCAGAAAGTATATTACATTATACTCTCTATCACAGATTCCCCTAACCGGGAAAATCAAACATACAAATAGCAAAGGTGGCCAGGTACAGTTTAAGACAATCTACCAGAAGTTCTCTCTACTGACATTATGCTTACATTCCAGGTTGATACAGCCGATGCTTGCAGAACATCCACGTGTTCAAGCTTAGATACTACTGCTAAACTGACCAAATCTACATGTGGACACCTACTTAAGTGCCTGGATGTCCAAGGGGACTACAACTAGCCACCTTCTCAATACAGCAGCATCTGTCAGCATCAAGCAGGACTCACAATCAAGCTCAAAAGCTGTTTCGGAGTGCTTATGTTTATTGATCCATATTAAAAAACAACTTTACATGCAGCAGCTCCTAGAACCTGGAAGGGACTCAGAGGAATTAAGCCAGAGGTAGCTTTCATCCTGCTTCGTCAAAACAATTTAATAAAACCAGCAAATAAAAATAATTAAATAATAGCTAATTTTATACAGCTATATAGTATTCCAATCTCCTACCATCTATTCCAGCCAACGTAGCAGATAGCTTACCTGTATTTGCAGACAAGCAAAAAACCCAACAAAATTAAAAGTGAGAACCAGAGTTTAGTTATAGCAGTGCAGTACTGATTTGTCCCAACAGCTGAGGCACCTCATTTTTTTTTTCCCTAAACTCAGAATGCAGCTTGCTACTGCAAGCAGCTTGTCAATCTGACATTCACTCCGAATTATTACATCTGTGTCAACCACTTGCTGTATGAAAATTTAGCAGGCTGATTAGCATCTTGCTCTGCTTCCAAGTCTATTTACATAAATGGAATTGCTGCTCAAAACATTCTCTCCAGGTAGATGAACATTACCTCACAACAATCTTAGATTCCTTTTTGCAGTCTCTTAAGCAACTCTTTCTCCAGTCCACACATTCTTGTTTATTTTAGGCTGCACATCTAAATATATTTAACTGGCGGCTGTTTTAAAATCTCTGTGAGTTTTCCATGGACCACTCTGTTTAAATTTCAGTAACAGTCTGGATTATGTACATCTGTTAAAAGAAAAAAATCACCATATTTTGAGGGTATTTACATTTCAGAAGGAATGTTGCATACACACACACACACGCATGTATATATATATAAACACTAAACAGTAAGATGGGTGAAAGGCATAGATCTTGTAGGGTAATTTTTCACTTGACTCTCCTTTGTTACCTAGAGGAAAGAACTGAGCTTTGGCCATAAAGCGTTTGTTATCTACACTCCAGTTTTTCCTCATCTCAGATGATATTCTGGACACTGCAAAGAAGTGTTGGCACTTAACAATGGCCAGAGGCCAGGGTTTCATCTGTCAAGAAACTCATAAGAGTAATTGTGTCAAACTGATAAGAAATCTTCTGGGAAAAAGATTTTCATCGCAAAACTGACAAGTCAATTTAGGGTTGTGCTACATTAATGTGTCAATATATTAATCTTCAGACTGCCTTAATAATTATTTGGTCCTCTAATTTTATTAACACACACACACACACACACACACACACACAAGAACCCACTTCAGAGATTAAATGAGTTGTATCTCAGAGGGACCTACTGTAGTACAAGTGTCACAATGCAAGGGTGAAAGATTTCCTTGTATTTAAATAGTACCTACATCTGTTATTTATACTTACTTCCTTCTCAAAAAGAGCTGTGAATCCTAATACTTTTCCAGAGATGACAGACATATGACAGGAAGCTTGAGAGAGGACTCAGATAAAGTGAAGGTTCCACATAAGCAGCTGTAAGAGATCCTCCTTACTTTTATCTAATGATATACACTAACTGTAACATGACCACATTTGGGAATCTCGTCTCTTTCAAAATTCTTACAGTATTTAAAAAAAAAAAAAAGTCTAAGTTGGGACCAGTACATTCTTTTGTTTCTCTACCACATGCTTCTAAATGTTTAGGAAGAAAATAAGGAAAATATAAAAACTGTCCTACATCAAATGCTAGATATTAACTCCTGTCTATTTAGCAAGGATTCAAAAAGCAATTTAAATAGTAAATCAACTTCAATGTAGCAAAATTAGGTTGAAAGAATAGAGGTTTCAGCTCGTGTACATAATTTGAACATGTGCAAGTACTTTCTTGCCTTCAAGGTGGGATTCCTGGAATATGAACTCTTATGGTCACACGTCAAGCCCAAACCCTTATTCACTGTAAACATGTCCGTGCATTCTGGGCAGCACACTGTGTAGCTTCCTCAAACAGCTGGCTACAGAAGAATCTCTCTCTCAGGATGATGGTATAAACCTATACTTTTTCTGTTTAGAACTGAAGCACTTCTGTTAGCCTCCATGATCAAAATCAGCGCAGCTGATTGGAATCTCTTCAGTTTGAAGAGTACACAGAAGAGAGCTATAAAACAAGGCTCCTTGTTTTCTACTCATCTCCCCAAATAGTTATAAGCAAAGAGCGGGAAACAGAGAAAGAGAAAACTGATCAAAGATGACAGCATTTAGTGGAAAGAGTTCTAGAGCCCACGAGATAAGAGGGCATCCTCTGGTGATTCAGGTGCATCAAAGCAAGGGTCAGCATCGCCAGGTATTGGGTAACTCTCTTACTAAGCATTCAAAACTTGCTTATTCATAAGAGCTTCCAATTTAAAGTTAAATATTACACTTAAACTTCATCACCAATGATGCTACAAGCATAGCAAGCCAGTAACTCGCCCGTAGCGTTTGTGACAAATAACTTGCACTGATCACATATCTGCAGATAAAGAGCTAAGCGTCAGGAGGTCTGAACTAGACAGGTTTTTCATAGGAAAAAATGCTTTCACTCCACACATTCAAGCATAAAATATGAGTTCAGGAATTTGCCCTCCCTGTACCCCAGTGCCATTTGTACTGTCCGAAGAGCACTGAAACTGAACAGTCACTTTCCCACACTGAACTTCTGTCATTCCTTCTTGTCCAAAATAGCTGAGTTCATTACCATCCAAAATCACACTAGCTGTGTAAAAGGTGTCAGGCTCAATCTGTACTGGATATTCAAACCACACAGGGAAAGTGTTACTAGAACCATCTGAGAAATATTTGCTCAAGTTCTGGCCTAGGATAACTCCTTGTCGTTTGAGTTCAATCTTGGCACTGTATTCTGCCGATCCGCAGCTGGAGCCGTATAGCCCAAAGCCAGCTATAAACACCCTCTTATCAACAGCAAACTGGATGCTGTCACACCGGCCCCTGTAGCGCCACTGGTTGCTGCGGTAAGCACAGGATTGGAAACGATGGCACCGCTGAGGAACAAGGCCTTTCCGGGGCTTGCTTACAAACTGTAACTCTGGCTTTTTGGCAGCTGTATACCAAAGGAAGATATCATTGGTTTCGTTGAGAGTCAGAATCCCAGACTGAGCAGCGCCATTTGCAAAATCATCGAGTGCCATGGTAGGGATGCGTATCAAGTACAGCGCCTTTCCCAGGACTTTGCGCTTATTCTCTATGGTGGCAGTTAGCTCCTGTCGCTGACACTCCACTTCGGCCCAATTCAGAGCTGCTTCAAAAACAACGATTTCTTTGGCATTCAGAGTCTCCCGTCGGAGAATGCTTTCAAGTGTCTGAAAATCAATGTCACAGAAGCCCTCGGACTTCAAAGCCAGCTCGGCTTGGGCATCAATCACTTCCCAACAACGCTGGGTCAGGTCAGGTTCCTCGAATAAGCAGCTCTGGGAAAGCAGCACGCAGGCATTCTTTGCACTTAGACTTGTTTCTAGGAAGTTGACGCAGGCACGGGCGAGATGAGGGACGATGTACTTCTTGGCAGCATAAAGAGTGGCCAGGACAGTATCTGCAGCCAAATCAATTTCATCACAATATATGTATCTGAAATGAAACAAGCATGCTTAATGCAAAGGGATCATTTGTCAACATCTCAAAACTACGAAGAAGGAATATTTAAGTAGAGCTTTTGGGGAACATCGATTAAATCTACGAAGAAAACACAAGCTAAAATCACCACTCATGTAAGACCAGGGAAGAGAACATGCTTAAATCTGAGGTGAGAAAAACTTCTCATTTGGTGCACAGACTATGCAGAAATGGTAAAGTGTACAAAGAACGCAACTTGTTCAGCTGTTCTCCTTCTGTACATGCTTTGACTAATGACAGAATATCATCCTCAGAAGGTAGCTCCTCAAGTGCTAACTTACTTGGCTAACAGACCAGTCTGGAACACGTGTTACAAATGGTACCTGGATTTAATGTCCCATGATAGTCAGTGGTGATGATTTACTGAGGTACATACCAACAGAGGAATGAAAACTAGCTTACTGCTAATAACTAGCTAATCTCTCAGAACACAAATGCTATTGAAGTGTAACAGGTGCTACTCATCTTCTTAATTACTGATGGTTTTTTTTTTGGTTAGTTTCCAAACGAGGCAATGAAACATAAAAAAAACAAAAGGCATAGAAAATTAATTTTCAGGTTTATTAATGCCTACAGCATCATAGCTGCAATAATACGGTGCTTTCTTTCAGCATCAGCACATAAGGAGGAAAAAAAAAAAAAGCCTTTTACTACCACAACAGTGTAGTGGAAGTGACGAAGGTGAAATTATTATTTCGTGACTAAACTGCTAGGATTCATCACTTGGAGAAATGGAGCACTGTACAGTTTGTTCTTTGTAATATTTCATGCTTCAGGGCCCCATTTGCAGCTGGTGAATGCCATGTGTTAAAACCATGCCAAATACAATTTTACTCTTCACAGGGATAAGCAAGTCTTGATGGTTATGCCTGATAAAAGCACCTTCCTCTAGTGAAGCTGAAGTTCTATGCAACCCTGGAGTAATTAAAATGTTCTAGTTAGCAAGTTTCCCAACACAGTGTATTTTTGGCAGAACGGAATGTACTTAGAAAGGGGAATTAGTACCTACCCTGAAATGATTGAAGCTGTATATATCTTTATCTGTTTTTTTTTTTTTGTTTGTTTGTTCTTGCAGCTGTAGGGTGCTATTCTCCAAGTCATATCAAGAAATTGTGCTCAGAGCAGATGCAGCCCAAGCAATATAACAAAATGGAAGAGGTTATGGAGAAAAAGAATACTCCTACAAACTTAAAAAAACAAAACAAAACAAAAAAAAACCAACAAGACAACACAACAACAACCCAACCCTTTATTACTTGGTTTCAGCTGGGTTATTTGTAACAACAAAGGATTAGGCCTTACGTATTTTACTGTCCAAAATATTTTGAATGTGTCAATCTACCTGGTTTTATTATTCTCCTCATTGTTCTTCAACTCTTTTGTCTCTCATATTACTTTTCTTTGCCTGCTAGTACCAAAGAGAATGATGGCATCTGTTTTATACTGAAATAGCACAAAGTTGCTAGTTTAATATTCATGAAAGTAAAAAACTAATACCAGTGATTTACAACAGACAGCACAGATAGGCTGTCAGCAATATTCCACACTTCTCACTGTGCCAGTGCACCTCGATGCTGGTTGACAATTATTCACATTCCAGTTTCATTCTATTCGTATAAAGAGGATTTTGCTAAAGCAGAGTTTGATGGTTTAATAACACTCATCCTGGCTTAACAAGAGACCATAGTTCTAACTTGAACAGTCAACATTAAGATATAATGCAGTAAAGACACCAACTCAATATGCCAGCAGGATTATGAATTTTAACAACCTTCTGACTCTATTTATAAAACTATAGAAAACTGCCAAATTGATTTCACTGAGAGAATAATTCATATATGCATATCAGTCAATGTGCTATTTCCTATGTTATATCTTGCACCACCTTATCAGATCTTCACTCTAAGTATGCATACTATATATTAAACGACAAAAAACAGTTACGCTAGAAGAATTCACTGTCCAGAAAAGAAAATAACAATGTATTTTCCTACAAAGATTATTGCAGGTCCCTCCTGACTGTGAAAATCACCACATGAGAGATAAGACTGCTTCGGGATGGGTAAAAAGTCTTCTCCTCCTTTAGAATCTACTCACAAGACTTGCAGGCAGCACTCATGGGGAAGATTTCCTGGGGGGAGAGGAGCGATGGGCCCATGTCTCCTCCCAGGCTCCACCCAGTGCAGCACATGCTTGGGATCATGCGATGAGGGGAATGCTGCACTGCTGAGCAACATCCTTTCCCATCTCTGCAGTCACAGCTGCAGGCAGCTCCAGCGTTTGCAGGCACTGGAACACTCTGCGGGCTCAGGAACACTGCAGCAGCAGAAATGAGCACTGGGAAGGTTAGCTCAACATCCACAATGAATACAGAAAACGTGTGTCATCTTCTGCTTTTTTAAATAAAATCCTAGAGGGTAAAGAATTCCAGGGTTCTGGTCATGTCCTCCAAGTTACTTCCCTAAATTGCCATGGGCTAAATAATTCATCAAGACCTATCTATCAGCACTGATATTCTCTTCTCTAGGTTTGCACTCTGAATATATTCCTTCATGACAATGACAAATTCAAAAAGCACTCCGTTTTTACTTGGCATGTCACATTCAGTCACAGCGATATAGGATTCGCTGTTCAAAAAGGGGGAGGGGTATCCACGTATCTTGTATTTGTGCTTTGTAGAAGTCTACATGAAAGCTAAGCACAGATCAGAGCCCTGCATAAAACACCTGCAAAACCAGAGAGGCCCAACGCGGGGATCTGCAGCACAGCACTGACATAACGTTCTATCTTTACATTCCAGATCTATAGAATAGCTGTGTAACTTCAGCTTTTTTATTGCAGTTATTAATATTTGCACAGTTCTGATGTTCACAATAACCTATAAAAACCTCTATGCAAACTCTGTGTGTCGGTGGCACTGTAGGATAGTCAGAGTTGCATATAAAGAAAAAAAAAAAGAAACCACTCTAATCACCAGCTAGTCAAAAGAATCTATGGAAGACAATAAGTAGCTACTGATTACATCATTACACGCAATAGAATCTGCAGCACATGAAAAGCATTACTATCAGGTACTAATGTATGCTCTTTATCAGGGTGCAATGGCAATTACTAAAGCTGAAGGGGAAAAAAAAGCGACCTCAAAGGATTAGCAGATCTGTAATAGGGAATTTCCCTTTAAAAACCAGAGTTTACAGATACATTCAAGGACAACTCAGCAGGGAAACTGATTCGTTGTGTTCACTTAGAAACAACAGCATTTCTTATGCTGTTTGCAAGAAGAAATCAAAGACAGATAAATAATCACATAAACTGACCCCCCAAGCACCCCCAGTCAGAGTAAAACCCATCCTACTCTTATCAACAGCCTTTTTATCACTTTCTAGATGCATCACTAAGACAGATGAGGAGAAATTTAATTATTAAAAGCTCTGTTCAATATTTAGGGTGTGTTTTTTTCCCCCCCCTAGTTCCAGACACACATACGGCAAGTTTACAAAGAAGTTGTTAACTATGCCATCATACCAACACAGCAATTCTGATGTTTTTGTTGTTTTTAACTTTCCGCTGTGCTTGTGAAGTGTAGCAGAGGTTTTCTTTTTTTTTTTTTTCTTATAGCTGACAATTCTTTTTAGTAACTCCATTCCTTTGCTTACCATGTGTGGCAACAAATCAAATCAATAGGCATTACAGTATACAATGCGCCCAAAGATCTGCTGTCAAAGTCATTATTTGCAACTGCCTACATCAGCCTAATATATGCATGCCTGGAAGAAAAAGGGGACACCAAAACCAGATAAAAGTTTGAAATACTTGAAACACAAGAAGAGTATTTCAAGCAACTGCTTTCTTTCTGTTCATATGCAAGTCTAATATACTGGTACTGTCATAGTTAAATTAAAGTATGTAGTGCATCATGAAGGAAAATACATCTAGCAGATGAACGATGCTTACTTCAGCATTGCGAGAAAAGCAGCAGGCTCCACATCTGGTATACGGATTTCATCTTTGTCCTCAGCAAGTTCTCCATAGAACATTGCATGGAATACTGAGCTCCCAACGGCCAGGACATACTGTTGAGAAAGGGAAATCTTATTTCATGCTTCAAGCTGAAAAGAGCTGCCAACAAAAACAATGTGGGAGAGCCGCTCTGAACATACTGGGCTTCACTGACAAGCACTAGATGCACTTCAGTAAGAAATGAAGTCAAAGTTAAGAACAGAATTACACATTTTCCGCTTCATTTTACTCTCATGGGCATATATGCATTAGCTACTGGAAACTGCTCATATCCACTACACAAGTTAACTATTTCTAGAAAGTCTCAAGAGTAATATTAGTCAACAGCACAAGCAGCATTCCCAACTTTGCAGCAACTGCCTCAATACAAGCATACAAGAAACAAAGAAAAGCAAGGGACAGCACTGCATGTAGCCTTTTACTGCATAGAATTATGCCTGCCCCAGAAGAGCCCAGTCCTGCACACTGCGTCCTGGTGTAACTGTGGGAGCTCTCCTGTCATCCCTCCCCCCCCAAAACAAAAACACTGCAGCTGTTGCTTACTTTATGTCCCGGCAGCCGTTGGGTCCCACCTGGTGGCCCGACCACAAAATGAACATCTGCCATCAAGTCATTGTTGAACATCACTGCATTTCTACAAACAGAGGCAACATGTTAATTTATAGAACCCAGTTTTGCATCTATGCAAAACAAAGAAATCAGATTTCTGAACACCTTAAAGTTATCCACTAGCAGAATGAAAAGCAGATTACACTTTGTTTTTAGCTACATTATACATTGTGTATGGATTAAAAACAAAGCTCGGAGGGGCAGAGGGGTGTATAAAGATTACAAAAACTTTTCAAAAAGTGGAAATCAGTCAAATCCCCACTAACATCTACAAGCAATGTTGTTGCTTGAAGCCAGCAATGTTCTTATTTACACTGTTTATTATTCAGACAGCTGCACTGTATGGAAAACAGATAGGAAAATATTTTCCATTACCAGAATACTTTTCTCCGCAGAGAGAACTGCTTTACTCAGTGAATAAATGAATAGCTAAAAGTGCACATTATGAGCATCTCGCTACTTTTCACCACTCCATTCAAAGAACAAAAATAAACTTTCCCGAACTTACCTCTCTCTGATGGTCGGATAAAGTCCTTGCCAGTTTGGTGCTGGAATGGTGTTGTTGTTATTGAGATTTTGCTGGTGGTACTGCTGGACAGCAGTTGTATTAGTGTTGGCTGGTTTCTTTCGGGGAAAAATATCAGCAGCCATCTTCTTCTTCTTTTTGGTCTTCAGGGTAATGATTTCATAGCAAACTGGAGGCAATTTGCTGCTGCTGCTGTTGCTATTTCCCTTTTTAGAGCTCTTCTTGGACCTGTTCTTAACCGTCTCTGGAAGCATCAAGAAAAAGGTGAGACATTTCATGTTCTTCCCTTTCTCATCTACCATGAGTATACTTGTCTGTATAGCTAGATAACCTGACTAGCTAAGAACATTAAAAAATGCACGTGTGAGCTGTTAAACACGGAGCAGCAGAGCAGAGAGTTTCTTTTCCAGCAAGACAAGGTGACCTTTCCAGCGTTCCGAGTAAGAAACCAGGCTTTAAGTTTGATCCAGTACTTGAATTGTTAAATACATCCCCATCATTCCTGCCAGTTTTATTTCTTCCCAGCTTTCCTGACCGCGAGCCACCCAGAAGCAGCACACCCAGCACAGAGGCACACGCGCGGCTGTCGCAGCAGCTTCCCACCGGAGGCACGACGTGCCGTAGCACCGCTCGCCCGCTCAGCGAGCTCAACTTGTGCGATGAGCGGAGCCGAAGCGACCAGATATTCCAGCCCTGCAGATGGAGTCAGCCAGCACGCAGAGCCAATAGCTGAAGTCACTGATAACGATTGGATTCAGCCGCACAGTGACACCTATTGTAACGTACGCGGCTCCAACATTAAAGTGACAGCAGCTGCGCTCCTCATTTAGTACGCAGTGCTAAGTAATAAGGGAAACTGCACGCACAGTTACATAAGTGCCCAGCTGGCTAGAAGCCTGGGCGTTTCAGCTCTTCTTGATGCTGTCTGGATTTCACAGGGGCAGGGATAAAATGTAGAAATCAGGTAGAAACATCCTAGAGCCTAAATGTTTCGGTGGGAGCTATTTCCACACGCAGTTTGTATTAGCATGGCTTCGTACGTGTCTAGGACGCTCAAAGATCCCTTCTGTGGCAGTTGTTCAGAAAGAGCACGCTATAAATACGGGAACCAAATGAAAGCAAATCAGCTAGCAGCAGCAAAGACAGCGACACAGTTAAACGATCCCCTTCCACGCAGTTTCTACTCCAATGTAACATGAATAGAGATGAGGTCACAGCTTTAGTTTTAACTCCTTATGTTTCTAGGGAGTGTAATAGCTTTTAACAGGGGTCCCAAATGACTAAGTAGTGTTCGTTAGGCCAGCTTACACATGACATGGCTGCACCACATCAGAAGGGAACTTCTACATGTGCAATCAGATTAAAGCAAATTGGAGGGGATATACTTAATCAACGTTGCCAAGCATTCCATGCAAATCTGACCAATTTATGAATCGCAGGCTGAAAGCATTTCTCAAGAGGCAAACACATCCTGATTCTGTTAATAAATACTTTCTGAAATAAACAGGATATAAGATATGCCAATGAAATCATTTAAATTAAAAAAAAAAAAAAAAAAAAAAACTAATTTTCAGTCATTAGTTTACTTTGAATTAAATTTAGATCAGGTTTCCTTAGTAGAAGGTCTAGCGCATTAAAAAAAAAAAAAAAAGACAAGCATAACAAAAGTATTAGGTGTCAACATTCCCACCTTAAAGCACTGGATGGGTTGGTAATTCTAGCATCAGTTCACAATTATTTTCCAATTCAAAAGAAAAAAAAATCATCTTTGTTCTTCAATTAGTTAATTAGTTTTGCTGGACAAGAACACAACACCAAAATAAAAAATTGACCGAAGGCTGGTGGAGAAAAAGTTGACCTTGCTGAAATGCCTGCCAAGAGTCTGCCATGGACTGAAACTGAAGCATGGAGATGCTACTCAGGCTATTTACTGAAAAAACAGCTGCAACTGCCACAACTATAACACAATCTGTAACACAATCTTGGAATTGTAATGCCTAAGTGTAGATACTGCACAGATTGTTAGGTCTCCTTGAGAGGTAACTTCATATTAAGCACCAAAACACTGGCAGTGGTCATCACAAGATATTATTTCCAGACACATATCCATCTCCTCTGTCTGTCAATTTAAAAGAAAATGGTGGGTCAAAGGGTCAAACCTGGTGTGGCTGAAAAGTAGAGACCTGCTCCTAAATAGACAGAGAGGCAGATCATGCAACTGCCAAAGAAATATTTCCTAGCAAGCTTTTCTTCCCTTTTTTACTCTCTTTCTCACTTGTTTTTCTTTTTGATCTGTGACAGGTTTGGGACAGAAACTAACCACGTTTGTCATGTTGAATTGTGATGGTAAAAGAAAAGAAACTCATCCCGCGGATGGGATGTTTATAATTGCTCACAGCAGAGAATTTACAATGGAAATACAAAGTATTCTTGGATTTGTGCAAGTTTTTTCCCCCCCTTCCTTAGGTAAACTTCCATCCCTTCCAGTTACAATAACAACCTGTTTGCCATTCTGCAGGGAAGCAAGCGTACAGATACCAAAGAGCCACATGTCAGAAAATCTGGTTTTCATCATAGCAACTGGCAAGAGAAAGATAGAGGAGGTTAGGAGATTCATATGGGAGATATGATTTTCATTCCATAAATCCATTTTACCTAATCCCACAGAATAAAAGAAGCAAGGTCCCAACAAACAAGTTAGCCAATGGAAGCCCAAAGATTATACCCATAGCAGATAAGGTTACCAAGATGCTACAGAAGAGAAATGGAATTACAGAGCCACTGTTTAAGTCTGTGTAGGAAAGATTATTGGCAAATGTAAACTGGCAGCTTATCAACCATGCCTTCGACTTCCACAAAACACAATGTGAAATGCTGTGCTCTCTGTGCAAGGAGGAGAGGGAAAGCTATGGCTGAAGTTTGTTCTGCCAAATCCAAAAGCCAGCCAGACTCCTAGTAACCAAAGATAAAACTTCACATCTGCTGCACCTATCCTGCTTAGGTGTGGCTTCACACCTAAGCCACCCATCAGAATCTGGTCTGCTGCAACTGGGAAAGTATTAATGATTCCACAACAGACCACAGAAGTTCCTATGAAAAAGTTAAGACCCTTTCACTGAACTTTATTAGCTCCAAAACAAACCATCACATATCAGTTATTAGTCTCAAGTGAAGTGGAAAAAGAAAAGCACAGAAAGAATCAGTGAAAGAGTCAGTGCTTCTTGCACTCACTATTGTTTCAGTTTTGGCAGTACCCACCATCTGTTTTCCTATGAAATAGTTTTCCTTTTTCCGTATACACATACGGTTAATGACTTACAGCTCACTGCAGTCAGTAAAAGCATGCTCAGATGTGTGCCCTGCTGAAAGATGAGTCAAAACTTCAAGTTCAAAGCAGTCTATCTCTGGTGAGAGAAGTAAGGACCTTCTTTCTCCCAAAGCTCTGTCCACCTCTGAAAACTTGTGCTGTATCCCTCATTTTCTCCAGTAATTTTCATTTTTCTTTATTAATTATATATTAACAGAATGGAACTTTATAAACATCTAAAAAAACCCAATTATTCAGAGACATCAATATCAACTTGTAAGCAAAGTAACCACACCAAAAGTATTAACTTAAAGGGTGTAGGAAATTCCATGCTTAAATCTTAACACAGGTCTAATGAAAATTCTAAATGCCAGATGTGAAGCACTTGGCAAAGGGCTACACTATGAGGCTGAGCTGCTATGCATCCACTTTCATCCTCCTTTCAAATGATACAGGGCAAGTTATAAGCCTTGGAAATCACCTCTCAGCTAAAAAGTGTTTAAAACACAAACAGTCAAAATAAAAAAAAAAAAATTATTAATTTTACAGTTTAAACCCAAATGCAGATAATATATCTACACTGTCAGTTCTAATTACCCTTTAAGACCATAATATGCTGTGAAACCATTGGGAAGGTTGTCACAGGAATTATACTGCACAGTGCTTGGTGCAACAGCATGTATATTTATGCCTTTCTAAAGGCACAATTGAGAAATCACTGAATTTCCAAGGTTGATGGGAACTCTTCCTCATGCTGCGTCACTCCTTCCTTCTGCAATAGCAAGTATACCCCAAATTTTCCATTTTTTGTCTTCTAATAGGTTGTGCTTTTCCTCTATCTCACATTTAGAGCTCTGCTCTTCACGTAGAAACAATTCATGTAGGGACAATTTCCCTAAAAATCAAGACTTATCACAATTCCCAATGGGCTGCTACAACCAGATTCTGAGCTGAGGAACCAATTCCAAGTAGGCAATAAGAACATGCATCTATTTCTTTTTTTGTAAAGTTGCCAAGTCTTTTCCTTGGCTGTTATTATTATGCCTATGCATTATTAAAATTCTTTGTTTAAATTCTGGATTCCCCAAAGAAATCAGTTTCAGATGGTACATCTCTATTAACCAAAATAAATATACACTTAATATTTAACAGATCTACCTGTCTGCTGTTACTTCTCGTTGAATTTAAGCTCACTCAAACACTAATTAAAAAATGATGCGCACAAGTTCAAAGAGCAAAAAAGCAAACAATAAAACCAAGAAACCCAACCCAGAGAGCCGAGGAGCTTAACGCTGTTTAACTATTTATGAATTATTTAGTCACTTGGAAGAAACCACCCATCCCAACCCTCCTGTCTGTAAAAACACTCAGTTGGAAAGGGGACTGACAGCTCCGTTTTGATTTTCTCCAGTAACAAAGCACGTCAGAATTGACCAAATCTCCCACCACCCGTTCTCACACAGGATTCTGGTAGGCAGCACTGGGACAAACCAGGACTGTAAAAGTTCCTGTTTGCTGCATCAAAAAGTTGGTCCCTAAGTCTCACTCATTGAGGGCTCCCTTACAAAAAAAAAACACCAAAGACTAAAAGCAGGGACGAAGATGGGTAACGCTGTGATGGCTACCAAAGAAGTCTGAACACATAGTACAAATAAAAATAAAAAAAATAGAGTCTTTCTTTCTCAGAACAGCATCAATTTAGAACTGCATCTTGAACCAACACAACAAGTTAAAATTTATTTTGCTATAGCTTGTATGCTAGCAAAATGCTTGTTTACAAATATTCATCCCAACTCTGCTTAGTGATAATCTTAAGCTCTAAAGTATGAAGGTTAAAAGCTCCAGAATATTTTTATCCATAAAGATGTTCTTATTTTTTTTCCCCCATGAGTGCTCTTACTGCTTTCAAGGAAACAAACACAGGGAGTTCTGAGCAGCCCAGTCAGCAGTTAAATACAAGTTTTTATAAAACAGAAGAACAGAGAATAAAATTGCCTTTTATTTTCACATTCTTGTATTATTTGCATCTCTGCACAAAACTTCTTACTGGCCTCCCTATCAAGACAACCTTCATCTTTTAAATATGCCTTCTTTTCTATCTGCAGACATTTTCATTGCCCCCTTTTGATTTTTACAGCAATACCCTTTTTTGAGACAAAGCAATCAAATCAAAACACAGTACTTGAGAATAACATTTATCCCTATATTTATTTCATCATGAACATCCTCCTTCCCTACATGCTCACCAATTGAGGCTTAGCCCAAACCGAGTGCAGCATTACTCTCCTGTTACATTCTTCCTTAGCTGCTTTCCCTCTGCCATTTAACCACAGTAAGAGGTTCAATAACTGAATGTTTCTTTCCCAAACATACTAACATAACTCTACAAGATTTTTTTTACACTGCGGAGTTTTGCTTTTAAAATTAAAAGCTTTGTTTTCAGCTTGACAAAAATAAATAGAGCTTGCATATTAAAGTGAGGAAAAATATTTACATTTATCACACATTTTCATTATGAATTCAATGCCATATTTGCTGTATGAATGGCAGTCTGTAGAAACCACAACTGTATAAAAAACACCTTTCATTTAAAGAGTCTACAGTGAACAATAACAGTGAATTATCACACATTTTCTTCTGTGCATATGGAAAGAAATTAAGTGAAATGCTTCATCACAACATCAAATAGATGACTTTACCATCCTGCACATAGCTTGGCAATTGCAGGTAGAAAACATCCTAGAGCCGAGTTGGCAATTTATCCTATAAACACTCATTTGCTGCTTCATGGCTCAAAGTAAGAACAAGTTATAAATGGATGCTTGAGATGAGAAAACCTGCAGCTACAAAATGAGAAAATCAAGGTTACAGGTGATAGGCTGTTTTTCTACTAGAAGTGATAAGTTTTGCTCTTGACAACCCATGGGGTCAGAAAGATAAGTTCTTTCCTTGTAGCTGCTTCCTTCTGTTGTTGTTGTTGCTTCCAAGCACAATACTGCAAACCCGAACGCCTTCAACCCCTTTTCTAAGACAGAGGTCAACTTTAATTCTATTCTGCCTCTTATCAAAACTGACCTACAAAGGAAAGATCAGATAGCTCAGGAAATTGGTAATGAGATACAGTGGTTTTCATCTCTAGGTCGCTAACTCTAAATTGACCGAGGTCAACAGTAATCAAAAGTCATTAGCATTTAATGATCATTCAGTGCCCTGTGAGAAAGAAGCTAGTGATCTCAGTGCACTTGAGAGAAACCAGCACTACAATTAGTACTCACATGCTGCTTATTTCAACAGAGATTGTGATCAGGTAACTACAGCCACAACTTCCTTTCCTATCTTACAGGCAGATTTTACACTAGACAAATCTCTATACTAACTTTAACTCGGCTCAGAAACACTTCATTCAATTAGCTATATTAGGACCTACAAAGACGACGATCCTGTTCCCTTCCATCACTGTCTCCCAAACGTCTTTGTTCCCCTACACACAGCTCAGTTAAGTCTGCCAAAAGGTAGCGCAGATGAAGACAACTTCTCAGCAAGATCTTACTTAAGAGCTGGTGGCACTAGAACAGTATCTACCCCATCAAGATCCAAAGGGACAACACGTTACCACTGATTATGTTAGTGTGGAAATCAAGGATTTTGTTTTTCACGAGCAGCTCACCTACTTTCACATCAAACCAGTGATGAAGCACCCTGTGGGACATGAGAGGGAAGAGGATATTGCTACGACCTGCACTGTAACTGTTCAGCAGCCTGCAAACTTCAATTTCCTGAGACTGCTATGCTTTAAGCTGCTTCAAGCTTGCAACTGAACAAAGTTAAGAAAACAGAGGAGACTTGAAAAGCTTGGTTAGGTGTTGTAACATAAACATTACTGGGTTCTGCCATGGTAAAATGGCATCATGCCAATCCTCAGGACCCTGAACTTCGCTAGATGTGAATCGACCAGCTTACAACCCAACGCAGAGCCATGACTTGGCACACTTATGTTTACAGGAGAGCGTACCTGGAACCATTCAGTGTAAGTATTTAAAATAAGTTAGAAGAAGGGAAAATGGTACAGCTTTTTGTTTCCAGTGCATTTTAAATGACAAAAGAGAAGACTATCCCAGCTAGTGAAAAAGGAACAGGTTAGTCCATCAGCAAAGCAAAGAAATGCATCATCAAGCACAGTAGCTCTCCTTTCTCAAGAGTCTCAAATCCATGAACAAACACTCATATAATTTTTTGACAGCTGCTTAATAACCCCAATTTTTGGTTGTGAGGCACCAATCACTACATCCAAATAATTGAAGGAATGAACACAAACACTAAGTCCATTAGATTGCACTGTACTCAATTAATTTTCTTTCACCACATGTTAGAAGCTGTGGATTTTGTTGCTCGCTCTTAACTTTGCTTCCAGCTTCACACAGCACAGCCAGGTTCTGCTTGGATTTATAATGGTGATTCCCCAGGGGAACAAAACCAGTGCCAAACTGTGATCTGCTTACATGTTTCACAAAATCAGATTCACTTTCTTCCACGGCAAATATTTCAGTCATACTTGCCAATTAGCAAGTATGCTTTAGCATTCTGATTAATTTCTCCTCCTCTTTACAAGTGAATGGCAGCTCACTTGCGGGAATGAATTTTCAAGATGGACATGAATATGCTCCTCCATTTCTGGTTTCAAGATATATTTTCAAGCAGTTAGACTTATTTGTGCAGGAACACCAGGGTATCCTAAATGCTAACTCTCCTTCACAATAATGCTGTCTTGTTGGCTCTATTTTCAGAGCTGTGGTAGAGAAAAAATTGAAGGAGAAAGTAATTAAAAGTAAACAAATACAGGTATTTTAAGGGATTATGCAAGGTAAACCTGCATGTGCATCAGTTTTACATATTATAAAACTTTGCCAATTATGAAAGCCTTTATTTTTTCATATACACGCAGTATCATCTCAGCCTGGTAGTAGAAGATCAAACAGCACCTACATATTCTACCTATGCTGTTATGTGCACGGCGCTACCCTAACATCACACAGTATACCTCTGAGCTACGTGCCTCGACAGAAACTGAGCAAACTGGTAGGGCTGGGATTGCTTCCACCTGAGTTAAACCGGGCGCTGAGGACCCCCAAGTAGGGCAAAACACTGTTCCTTTGTTGAAGTGAAGGCACTGCATGCATTTCTATTGTAAATAATAAGCAACTTGCCTCAGCTCCTCCCCGGTCTCAAAGACCATGGCTTAAGCTTTCACCCACACCCACTGCTAGCAGGGCAAGGTGACACGCCGTAACACATCATGGATTAGTCTTCAAAGGGATTTTGTGCCACCTTAAAAGCCCGTGTATAAAACCTCACAGCTGCTAGGTGCAAGCAAACGCGCTACCCAACCAGTTACTTTCTGCTCTTACTCTCAAAAAACCTTTGTCACCAAGCAAGCACTGAGCAAAACCTGAGGTAACAAAACTATAATGCTTGGGAATGTAACATTTTGAAGCAAAATGACTCCTTTACATTTCTGAAGAGTACCAGAAACTGTAGCTAGGGTGGTACCTGACCCTCCCTGACTGAAGCTAATCAGGGCACCAGGCAGCCTCACACGGCAGGTAACAGACGAGGGGACTTCTCAGTGTACCTTCCACATCTGTTTTCTGTGACAATATGCTGTACATACCCACAGTGCCCAGCAGACATCACCAAGCTGCCCATCTGTATTTTAAAATGCAAATACTCTGTGGACACTGAACTCACTTCAATCTTCTTTCACTTTAGCGTCCTGAGTTATCAAATTCAAATGAACCAACAGGAGCAGAAAAGAGACAAGCCAGGCCAGAAAAACAGAAAGCCCACAAATACAAATGAGGTGACTAAGCTTTTCCCCTGGGTTTCGTAGAACAAAACAACAGCCTGCGAGATTGGTGAGTTAGTAGAAAGTCACAAGAGAACCATCTTGAATGATCTGACAAAGCTAATGACGAGCATGAATGATATTTTGCTGCAGAACTAGCATCCTTTATACAACTTCACACAATGGACGGAGGCCTAAATTTCTTCAAACAGCATAATGAGCAGTAAATCATCATCAGAACTCTGCTTTAATTGAGCCTGCCATAGCACTGAAACTTTGATCGTAAGCATACCAGCTGTTTTGGAACTTGAGATAAAAAATTTCTATTACAAGTTCTAACAAGCAAGTATCTACACAGTAGATATTACTACCAATAGCTGAATCCTTTCTCTCAGCCTTTTATGGCAAGCAAAGAGGAACTCCGCTTTGCTTCTGAAAGGTGTTTCCTTTAGGGCAGAGCCGAGGATCACTGGGGGTGAAACACCAGGGAAGTTATCATGCATTCTGCTGCTGCAGCAGAGAAATAGGCAGAGAAATAGTCCTACACGCTACGTTCAATTTTGGCAAACTTATTTCAAATGCAAAAGGTCCTGAAGTATTTAATTCCTTAATAGAATTATCTAATAAACTACCAAGATGTGACACAACCGACAAACCACACAATTTCTGTAGGCAACGATGAGAGCAGCTCTTTCCCACCAAAACAAAACCTGTTCTAAGCCTGAGCCAGGCACAGGACGGTCACGTTACAACCAAATGTGCTTTGTGTGCGCACAACCCAACACCACGTCCCTCCACAAACAGGGAGCCTGGGCCACAGAATAAAACCCCCCGGTATAAATTTAATGCTGAAAAAAATAAAGAGTTGTGAAAACTGCAGTAGGAGCACAGGAAACCTACCCAGCGCCTGCCAGCTTTGGGTGCTTTAATTAGGAATGCAGGCCATCACCTCAGGAGCACTAAACACGGTAACTTCAGCTTTTTTCTCACGTGGAACAGAACAGCCCGATGCCCTCGCCCCAGAACAAAACTCCGGAGGCGCCGGGCCTCCATAAGCAGCTCTGTTTGCAGACACGCGGACAGCCAGCCCACAGCTCGAGGACTGCGGTCGAACAGCGCTCAGTCACACCGCTCTCCCCGGGAAGTTCCACATCGCAGCGCGCAGCCGGCAGCCCCCCGCAGCCCCCCAGGCCGCTCTTTGTACCGCCGCCTCGCGCAGCTCCGCGCGCCGCCCGAACTCCCGCTCCCCAACTTTGGCGGAAGGCTCGGAGCGGCGCTCGCCGTACCGGCGCTCAGGTGCGGCCGCTCCGCCCCGTCCCTCGCCGAGACGTACCCGGGAGCCGCTGGCTCCTCCCCGCCTCGGCCCCCGGCACCGGGCCCCTCCGCTCGCGGCGGCTCCCTCGCCCCCCGGCCCCGCGGCCCGGCGCCGCCGGCCCGGCCCCGCCCGGCTTACCGTCCGCTCCCCGCCGCCGCCCGTCGGCGCCGCCCGCCCGGTGAAGGCCGTAACGGCCGCCTCGGCGCCCCCCGCACCGCTGACCTGAGGCGCCCCCGCTCCCGGGGCGGCGCGGCCCCTCGCAGCGCCCCCTCGCAGCGCCCCGCGCGATCCCGCCTCGAGAGCGCGCGCGCTCGCCCGCCCCGCGCGCACGCGCACGCCGCGCACGCTTCCCCCCCAACTCCTTCCTGCACAGCCGGCACGGCGGGCGCGCGGCGTGGAGAGGCAGAGGCGCTCGAGCCCGGCGGCTTAAACTCCAAAAAGCACTGAAGCAATGGCGCTTCGTAGGCCGTAGTGTCAATAGAACAGCGAGGAGGTCGCGTCGGGACACCGGCCCAAGCTCAGAGAGTGTGGGAGATTAGCAAACCCGGGGCGTTAAGGCGCTATCGCCTTCCCCCGTCAGCACCGCGAGGCGGTCGAGCCGCTTCAGAAGCGATCGGTGCGGGCAGCAGCGCTGCAGGGAGCGGCGCCGCGGCCCCCATAGGCGCTCCGGTTCACCTAGCGCTGCTCTCTCTGGTCACAGGGGAAATTAACATGTGTACTGGATTCTCTTTTTTAAAAGCTTAGGAAAAGGCTTTATTTCAAGGTTTTTTTTGTTTTGGTTTGTTTTTTTTTTTATGCCTAAAGAGACAATTATTTCTAGAGTCGCTGTTGCTCTCTGGCTGAAGTCTCTCATGACGGTTCATTTGCCCTCGTTACAGATGTTACTTCAGCAGATACCTCTGCAGTGTGACATAAGGCACATCTGTGATAATCCTATTTAAATATTTTAGCTATTAAAGTAGATACGGAACTTCCCAGCGACTCTAATAACCATATACGTACACACTCTATAGCTCTTAGGGCTTTCACCAGCAGAGTACATGCTTTAAATTACAGTGTGCAAATGAGTATTTAATTGGGACTTGCAAGGTTAACAAAAATATTCACTGTCTGCAGTGAATTTAAGCAGCGGGGTTAAACCTGGATAACTGCTGTGATTTTCCATCCTGTTTTCAGATGGAAGGTAGAAGGCCTTTTTGCAGCTCAGGTAATTCAGAGTGGTAAATGGCAGAGAGAAACCCATGTCTCTTGTTTTGAAAAAGACTTTTTGCAACCTGGATTTGTGATCCCATGGTGGAAAAACATGCTCTGGCCATGGAACTACTCATTATGCTCACCTGATTTGTACATCCTGCTTTAAAAGCATGCACAGGCCAGTGGTGAACTCATTCTTACCTAGAAATAAGGCAGGTCTGCTGCAGCCAGATCACACCTCCATTATGAACTAAATGGGGTACGGCCCACTGCTGAAGTGTTATTAATTGCTTTCAGTCCTCCTCACCTTCAGGCTGTGTGGATCATAGTCCCAGTGTGAGCTCAGCAGGACAGATTTTTGGGATCCTCAAAGCTCTCCTGAGTTTCCTGCCCAGTTTGCTCAGCTGCTCACAGAAGCCTGGATCATGAATACCTTTCATGTCTCAAAGAACGCCTGATGCAGACCTGAGCAGAACTGGAGTATGTGGCCACCAAATAATCTTTCAGCAGGAGAGGAAAAAAGCAAGTAGTTCTGATGTGACTGCATGTTTGTGTCTTGTTTCCTTGTGCTGAAGCTGTTGCACTCATAGCCCAGGAACAGTTGCAGTGAAGGCCTCTCCAAAAAGGCTGGATGCTCCTCAAGAAGGAAGTCTTAAAGGCATATGAGAGCAGGCTTTTCCTGAGTGCTTTGAGATGAGGGAGCAGGGAAGAAGACCAACATGAATGAACAGGGAGCTTTTGATGAGACTAGGAGAAAAAGAGAGCCTACCTCCTGTGAAAGAAAAAAGAAAGGATGGGCATCTCCAAGAGACTACAAGGAAGTTGTAATGTGCAGGAAGAAGTTTAGAAAGGCAAAAGCCCAGCCTGAACTCAACCTGGCCACTGTGGTAAAAGAAAACACCTTTTTTCTTTTTTCTTTTTTTTTTTTCCCTCCAATATATTAGCAGTAAGAGAACGGCTAAGAAGCATCTCCATCCTTTACTGGAGATGGTGGGGAATGTGACCACTGAGGATAAGGAAAAGTCTGAGGTTCTCAATGTCTTCTTTATATCTGTCTTCAATAGTCAGACCAGTTGTCTTCAGTGTACTTATTGCCTGACCTGGAAATCTGGGATGGGGAGAAGAATAAATCCCCCATGATTCAGGTAGAGACAGAGACCTCCTACTCCATCTAGACTATCAGAAGTCCATGGGGCCAGATGGGATTCACCTGAGGGTGCTGAGGGAGCTGACAGAGGTGACTGCCAAGCTGCTTTCCACCATCTATCAGCATTCCTAGTCAACTGGAGAAGTCCCAAAGGATTGGAGGCTTGCCAATGTGACATCTAAAGCAGGGTCTTAAGGAGGATCTGGGGAACTACAGGCCTTACCTGTCAGCCTTACCTCAGTGCCAGGGAAAGTTATGGAACAGATCATCTTGAGTGAGATCACAAGGCATGTGCAGGACAACAAGGGGATCAAGCCCAGTAAGCATGAGTTCGTGAAAGGCAGGTCCTGCTTGACCAACTGTATCTCTTTCTATGACCGAGTGACTCGCCTGGTGGATGAGGGAAAGGCTGTTGATGTTGTCTTCCTGGACTTCAGCAAAGCCTTTGACATGGTCACCCACAGTATTTTCCTAAGGAAGCTGGAAGCCCATGGCCTGGGCAGGTACACTCTTTGCTGGGTAAAGAACTGGCTGGATTTCCAGGCCCAAAGAGTGGTGGAGTTAAATCTAGCTGGCGACAGGTCACAGATGGTATTCCCGAGGGGTTGATTTTGGGGTCCATCCTGTTTAATGTCTTTGTTGATGGTCTGAGTGTACCCTCAATAAGCGTGCAGATGACAGGAGGTTGTAATAACAACACCAAGTGCTGAGGGGCCTGCACTTTGGTCACAACAACCCCATGCAACACTACAGGCTTGGGCAGGGTGGCTGGAAGACTGCAAAGGAAAATCACCTGGGAGCATTCATCGGTGGTCTCCTGAACATGAACCAGCAGTGTGCCCAGGTAGCCAAGAAGGTCAATGGCATCCTGGCTTGTATCAGAAATAGTGTTGCCAGGAGGATCAGGAACGTGATCATCTCTCTGTACTCAAATCTGCTGAGGCCACACCTCAAGTACTGCATTCAGGTGTGGACCCCTCACTACAAGAAAGATATCAAGGCCCTGGAGCATATCCAGGAAAGGGCTGGATAAAGCTGGAGCACAAGGAGTGGCTGAGGGAACTGGGATTGTTGTGTTTGGAGAAGAAGAGGCTTCTGGGAAACATTACTGCCCTTTATAGCTACCTGGAAGGCCAGTGTAGTAAGGTCAGGGTCAGCCTCTTCTCCTATGTGTAACTAGCAGTAGGACAAGAGCCAGTGGCCTCAGGTTGTGCCAGAGATGATTTAGGTTGGATGTAGGGAAAAACTCCAGAAGAGTGGTCAGGCACTGACACAGGCTGCCTAGAGAGGTGGTTGAGTCACTGCCTCTGGAGGTGTTCAAGAAATGTGTAGATGTAGTACTAAGAAGCATGGTTTACTGGGCAACATTGGTGTTAAGTGGATGGAGAGACTGGATGATCTTAGAGGTTTTTCCCAACCTTAATGATTTTGTGATTCTTTTGGAGTGTTCCATCATAGCTTTGGGATTCTGCCTGCTTCCATCCCAGGTTTCCAGGCAAGCACCAGTACTGCTTACCACAAACCCAGGGTTATAGCACGGCTAGGGAAGGTGAAGCTGTGCATGGGAGAGCTGATCAATTTTTATTTATTTATTTATTTATTTTTAAGTGTCTGCAAAGCCATTTAACTGGGATACGCTCTGCCATATGTTTCTGGCAGGATAACAGAGTCAAATATTTGTATTCAGTCACATCCAGACTTGTCTGTTCTCTTGTCCCAGAGATTTTCCAGGTATTGAGCAGCACTTTACAAAGACTTACTAACTTGAAGAGGCATTTAAATATTCGTTTTCCAGTTCAGCTTGTATACTCAGGAGGTTTTCCTCAAGTGCTTCAGGATTTAATTGCAATTTCTCCAAAAGCATTTTTCCATCAGGTGCTTTGCTACTGCTGGCTGTGCCCCCCATGTCTACCCTCACCTCTTAAAGCTTCACTGAGTCTCTCTACACAGCTTCCCGGAAAGGTTATTGTCTTATGCTTAATGGGGAGGAAAAAAAGGCAGTACAAGAGATTTACTGCAAATGGAAGCTATTACTGGAGCAGTTATCAAATGAAAGAACAATATAATAATGTCTAGCCATAAAGATATGAAGAGTTGCTTGTCAGAAGCAAACACCCAATGTGTAAAGTTAATGTGCATGGCTGCTGCAAGCTCTTTTTGGCGGACAGGTTCAAGTCCTTGCAGTACAGGTGAAACTCCCAGGTGTTCTGCAGATACTCAGGCTGTAAGATGGGTAACCAAAGCAGAAGCAGACAGAATGAGATGCACTGTCAGCTTTCTCAGACCTGGAGATTTACACAAAACAGAGCTTGGCCCCATCCTGATGTCCCCAGTGCACTGCCATCTCCCCTGTGCTTATTTAGGCCTCCAGATGCCTCCAGAAGCTGAATCCTGTTAACTCCAGCAGGACTGTAGCTCTGATTGACTATTGGCTTAATACTTAATGAAATAATAGCAAAGGGTGTTGAGTTTTGTCTGCCCTTAGACCTGTAAGGTTAAGTCACATGGGCTATGGAGTGAAGCTAGAAGACGGCGCTTTCTGGTTGAGAATTCAGGCACATACAGTTTTCCTCTTCTC